TCAAATGTACTATATTAAGCTGATGTTTTAACAAACACTATGACTCTTTCTTCTAGTGACTAATCAGTCATATGCAAAATGACTTTGCATTGCCAGGGGATTGGATGGAGTGAATAAACAAGAGCCACATTTTATTTCTAAGGTGAAAATATGTTTGCCATTAAACTTGCATGAAATAGGAACTATTTGGCCAGGCTCGGTGGCTCATGCCTATAATTCTAACACTTTTGAAGGCCAGAAGGCTGAGGCGGGAGGATTGCTTGAGGCCAGGAGAGTTCAAGACTAGACTGAGCAACATAGTGAGACCCCCATCTCTACAAAAAAATACAAAAATTAGCCAGGTGTGGCAGTGTGTGCCTATAGTCCCAGCTACTTGGGAGGCTGAGGCAAGAGGATCACTTGAGCCCAGGAGTTCGAGGCCGCAGTGAGCTATAATCATGCCACTGCTACTGCTCTCACATGTCCGGGCAACAAAGCAAGACCCTGTCTCTAATTAGAAGAGAGAGAGAAAGAGAGAGAGAGAGAGAGACAGAGAGAGAGAGAGAGAGAGAGAGAGAGAGAGAGAAATAGGAAATATTTATATGGATACAAAAGGCATTACATGGAGTAATGGCAACCTTCATGGAGATTGATTGCCTTGTGGTAATTGTGACTTTGTGGTTATCATGAAATCTTTGCTTTTTCTGCAGAATGATTATAAATAATATAAATATTACTTCTGCAAAACAGCAACTCATTGTTTTCATGTTTATTTATCACCTAGAGTATGCAAAGTTACTCTTAAATCCATGGGGGAACTGGGACTTTGTAGGGAAGACAGGTAAACCACACTCCCTACTGCTTTGAACTGTACTTGGGCTGTCACCATTGAAATACCAGGCACATGGAGAGCACTCAGTACATTCTGCTGAATGGCGAACCAAGTGGCTTCAAAAAGTGCTTTGGCATTGAAAGCCCAGAGGGAGTTCTGTGACACAGGGGCCGTGGTTAGCAGATGCCAAAGTAGTGGTGACTTGAGGAATGGGCAGGGTCTCCATAAATCGAAGAAGGTGGGAGTAAGATGATGTGGGAGGGAGCATGAACCAAGGTACAAGAGGTGAAAAGAGCAGCACCGTGTGTTTGGGGAGAGGCAAGAAACAGTTTGGCGCCCCAGTCTGCTTTGGGTAGAGGGAGCTGAGGCTGGGCTCTAAAGCTAACCTTTGAAGGCCTGGCTCTACTGGGTAAAAGGAAGCCACAAAGGACTGATTTTGAACTATTTTGGCGAGATCAAATAGAAATTTAGCTGATAGCGGCATGCTGGACTGGTACGATGAGAGTGGCAGGATTGTGATCGGCGAAACGGAAAGGAAGGTTTATAGGGCTTTAAAAAGTCCCTATTATTTGTCTCCTTGAGGTGTGGCTGTGGGAGAAGAATGAACTTAGACGGAGAGTGTAAGGAAGCCTATCCGATTGTCTTTGATCTGTGTGGGACTGGGGGGTCCATAGGAATAGGTAGCTTTCTACAAAGCCAGTGCTCAGAGGTCGAAAGACAGCTTGGAAGAACAACACAATGAAAACTTACTGTGCCTCTCGTTGAGACTTACTCAACATCAGAACCAATGCGAGCTACCCGATTTAATAAATAAGTGGAATTTAATGCATACATTGAAATGGAAATAACTTTTACTTGCTGGTCGCCTGGTTTTTTTTGTTTGTGTTTTTTTTTTTTTTTTTTTTTGCATTTTTATTTCTTAGCTGTTTACAGGAGTGACTAGATTTCTGCAAGGCAGATGGCAACGGTTAATCCCTTGCCACAGGCCTAGTCCAGTTGTGACCAAGTCCCAGGGGTGATAGTTAATTAAGGCCAGGGCTTGAGTGGTTCAGTTCTTAGGAAATTCAACTCCGCTTTGGTGTTTCTCAGGCTGAAGGATCCTGATGAGTCCCTCTGGGAAGTTTCTAGACCCAAGTTGAAGTTGGAGATTTCTTGCTCTGCCAAGGAAGACTCAAACTTGTCTGTCTTGACACGAGGTATCTCAGACTTCAGCTGGCCTGGATACCGCAAAGGTTTTTGGATTAGGATTAGATTCTGACTCTATAGGACCTTCTAGACCCTGGCTCTATAGGATCTTCTGCCCAGTGGAAGTAGAATGTAAGTTACAAATGCATTTGTAAATTTTCTAGCAGCCACATTAAAAAAAGGTGAAAGAAATGGGTAAAATTAAATTAAAATGCTATATTTTTAACCCAATCTACCCAACATATTGTAGTTGCTACATATAGATCTATCTATCTATCTATCTATCTATCTATCTATCTATCTATCTATATTTTTTTTTTTTCATTTGGAGATAGGGTCTTTCTCTGTCACTCAGGCTAGAGTACAGTGGTGTCATCATAGTTCAATGCAAACTCCAGCTCCAGGGCATAATTAATCCTCCTGCCTTAGCTTCCTAAGTATCTGGGACTATAAGCATGTGCCACCATGCCTGGCTAATTTTTCTATTTTTAGTAGGGACGGGATCTAGCTCTTGTTCAGGCTGGTCTTGAACTCCCGGCCTCAAGCAATCCTCCCGCCTCAGCTTCCCAAAGTGCTAGGATTATAGATGTCAATCACTGTGCCTGGCATAGTTGCAATATATAATTAATATAAAAATATTTATTTATTTTTGAGACAGGGTCTCTTTCTGTTGCCCAGGCTGGAGTGCAGTGGTGCAGTCACAGTTCACTATAACCTCAAATTCCTGGGTTCAAGAGATCCTTCTGCCTCAGCCTCCCCATGTAGCTGAGACTCTAGGTGCACAAACCATGCCTGGCTAATTTTTAAATTTTTTGTAGAGATGGGATCTCACTGTGTTGCCCAGGCTGGTCTTGAACTCATGGGCTCAAGCAGTCCTCCTGCCTTGGCCTCCCAATGTGTTGATCTTACAGGCATGAGCCCCCACACCCGGCCATTGTAAAAGTTATTAATTAGAGATTTTATGTTCTTTTTTTTATACGAATTCTTCAAAATTCAGTGTGTCCTTTACACTTACAGGGCATCTCAGTTTGGACCGACCGCAATTCAAATGCTCGATAGCCGTATGAGGCTGGTGGCTACTGTATCGGACAGTTTAGCTATAGAGCAAAGCTTTTCTTTAGTAGCCTTTTTGTTTAGGGCAGTTTTAGGTTCACAGAAAAATTGAGTGGGAAGTACAGATAGCTCCCATGTACCCCCTGTCCCCACACGTGCCTCCCCATTGTGTTGACATTGTGCACCAGAATGGCATGTTTGTTATAATCAGTGTACGTACATTGGCAAGTCATTATTGCTCAAAGTTCATAGTTTACATTAGCATTCACTCTCAGTGTCGCATGTGGGCTTTGACAAACGCATAATGACATGTATCCGCCATTATACTATCGTACTGAGTAATTTCACTGCCTTGTAAATCCTCTGTGCTCCGCCCATTCATCTCCCTTTGCCCCCAACCCCTGGCAACCACTGATCTTTTTACTGTCTCCATAGTTTTGCCTTTTCCAGAATGACTTATAGTTGGAAACATGCTGTATGTAGCCTTTCCAGATTGGCTTCTTTCACTTAGCAGTATGCATTGAAGTTTCCTCCATGTCTTTTTGTGGCTTGATGGCTCATTTCTTTTCACCGCTGAAAAGTTCCATTGTCTGGATGTGCCACAGTTTATTTATAGAGCAAGGCTTTTTACAAACCAGAATTACACCCATCGGGAAGCCATATTGGCGAGGGGAGGGAGTCTGAGGGTTGTGGGAGTGGAGGTAATTGGAATATCTTTGGCTGACTTTCTTTTTGCCGCACCTAACAAGCTTTTGTGAGCATCCGGAAGAGAGGGGAGGAGGCTCAGGATGAAAATCTTGCAGAAACATTAAATACACCCTTAACCATAAATAAAGGCGAATCCTCTCCTCTTACATCCTTTACCTCTGCAACACGCAGGGCCTGGACTATGCTTAGTCCAAAATGCTGCTATAAACTAGCAAACGTCTATGTCAAATACTCCCTCCAGACCAGTTTTATGAAAATATTTAAACTAAGCAAAACTAAAGGGAACAGAAAGCTGAATTGGCATATGTACAATTTCCTTGATCAAAGAATATTAAGCAAAAAGAGACCCAAACAGAAGGTGCTACGGTTTAAATGTTGTTCCTCACTCTTTCCGGATGCAGCTCTGCTCTATTTTCTTTATTTTGGGGCTGATTATGCTGAATAACTTGTCTCTCGTCTCAGTTGAAGTGAATTTACTACCAGTCGAGCACTCCTTATTGGCAGGGCTTGGGCGTAAATTCCGAGAACTCTAAGACTGCAAAGCTGGAAAGCCAATTCATCAAGCCATTGTCTTGCGGCTCCATTAAGTGTATTACTGGAAGATGACTTCATTTCAGATGTTTTGAATCTTAAATACAAGGGATTCAGTCCTTTATGGAATGAGTTAAGGTCAGCAGATCTGTCCCTTGTCTTTCTCATAAATAGTTTAATATTTTTCAAGCTTCACTGGACTGAGAAAATAATTGTGGGTAGAGATAAAGGGTTGCAATTAGGAACAGGCCAACATGAAGATGGTACTGATTTCAGTCCACCCCTGTAGCTTTCAGGTTCTTTTCAATAGGTTCAGTTGCTTGTGAGAAACACAGAAGTAGTGGCCGGTTTGACAAGCTTCACACCTTTTATGAGAAGTGGACAACTAACTCAGTTTTATCCTGTTTGAACAAGTTGCATTAGCCGTGGGGAGCATTTTGTTTTTGCATTCACAAATCAGTCTCCCAAGATCCTTTTTAAACAGAGCAAGAGAAAGACTGGCTAGTTTAGTAGTCCATCCCGACCTAAGGGAAACCGTCTCTAAGCATTGATTTTCCCAGTCATAAGATGGAAATTGCATCTATTTGCAAAAATTACTCTAATATCCTCAGATGAAATGGTCCAAGATGTGGAAATTGGTAAAATGAATCTCTGTGCTGTGAGGGAAAAGAAAGCCCCTTCTAAAGACGTTTTGTTGTACTTTTTTTTCCAGCTTCTTTCAAAATGTCTACTGTTCATGAAATTCTCTGCAAGCTCAGCTTGGAGGGTGATGTAAGTATCTCATTTTCACTTTATGTAATTCATGCAGATTGGATATCTCTGTGGATAACTGTGCTACTCTCTTTCCTTATACACCTAAGGAAAATGGGGACAAAATTCAGAGAGTCGTTATTTGGTTCTCCCCTTTTCTCATTACTTTAGCTAGTAGTTCAATTTGAAGAAAATGTCATGGCACTGGAAACTTTTTTGGCATCACGTTAAAATTAGAGTTAGTGACACTGGGGTGGCTGGAATTTTATCCTGCCATGTCTGTCAATGGTGATAATTGTTATGATGATATGTGCCTTTTAATGTCATGCCTTTGGATTTTATTAATGGTTGGAATAAGCTACAGCCATATCAAAAATGATTTGTGTCTTTTGGACTTCTTACAGTATTCAGGAAGTTTTTCCAGATACGGAGCTATACATTTTTTTAAAATTTAGCACCTGGGAAAGTTTTTTGAAAGAGCTAAGACATTTTTTTAAACAAAATAATGAAATTATTATAATTCATCATGTTTCCTTTTTTGCTTTGGCTATCAGGGGGCTCAGAATTAAACTTAATTGTCTTTACAGGAAATACGTGAACCTGGAAATTCGGTTGCATTTGCTTCTCTCTTTTACAGTTAAAAATTTTTTAAGCTCTATGTTAAATTATAAGTCATTGCAAGTATTTATAGAATCAAGTGGAATCTAAATTATGAATATGTAAAATAACTCATAATACTATACATCTTCCAGGTCATTTTGGCAGAAATGGCTTTTACAAAAATCCAGCGTTGACACTGGTTTGTAGTCATCTCCTACAGATATTTCAAAATATGCTCTTAAATTGATACTAAAATGCAAAGAAGCACTCAAAAGAAGGTTAACAGTGATTTGGGTCATGTGATACAAAGCCCTATGTATTGTCTATGGCACTTGCCACCAAAACGTGCAAATGAATGGAGTCTGTGCAAACACACAGGTTGTTTGGAATATAAAGCCTATATATTTCAGTTTTTAAAAATCTTTCCTCTTATTGGAACTTGAGCATGTCGTTGTTGGTAACAATACAAGCTGCATGTTGAGGCCCAGACAAGTCCAGGTGCTAAATACTTTATTTCTCTAGTGGATTTAATCATTAGATTGTTTGTAGTATCAGGTTTCATGAGAGGACTTTTCCTGTAGTCTCTGAAGTTTCTCTAATATGATACATTTCTCTGCACGGAGAGATGGGATGGAACTAGAAGATGTCACACGTTTCCCCAATATTTTGAGGGAAGAAAAGATCCTTTTTGCCCCCATAATTTGATTTTCAGACAAGTGGATTTTATAGGGAGTAAGTTCAGTTCTCCATTTAATTTTGTTTCCAGAGATGCTATGAAATTATGCAGAACTTTCCCCTGCTCACTGTTGTTTTCAGAATGAGATGGCATGTCCCCTGGCAAATGGAGCTCTATGTGGCATGGCTCCACGGCCGGACTGCCTGCCTTTGTAAATAACTCCCGGGTGGTTCATAGCATGATGCCTGCAGGTGCATCGCGATCTCTTAACTCTTCACAGAAACCTGTATCAAGGCCGAGTATCCCATTCTATGGGCATTATGTGCTGGGGGGTGGCAGTCCAGTCGGGGCACTGAAGGAAGGGAGCCTTAGCTTGAGGGCGGGGCAGTGGCGATGACTCCAGCAGCCAGAACTGCAGCGTCCGTCCGTTCTCTTGGTGTCCCGCCCCTTGCTTTGGGACTGGGTGGCGGGTTGAGAGGGAGAGGAACTGCAAGAGCATTTCAAACAAGGAGGGAAGTTGAGCCTTGGACAGGAGAACTGATGCAGAAGCAGGCCACTGTGCTTACCCCAGCCTGGGGTTGGGGTTGGGGTGCAGGTGGGAGAGGTTCCCCGTCAAATCAGGAAGGAAAACGGACTCCGAAAAGCATTGGAAGAGGGTTTTGGCTTGAAAGGCGGCAAGAATAAAAATACTAGGAAGAAAGGTAGGCAGAGGGGATCGTGTTAGAGCAGGCAGAGGGGAAAATACAGAGCAGATAGAGGAGAGACAGGAGAAGAGAGGAAAGAGAGGAGCAGGAGCTTGGCAAACCGGAGAGGACGTGGCTGTCGGGTTAGACCACCTTGGTGCCACAGTGCTGGCCAAAATGGCGTAGAAGACGCGACTTCCCCTGCTTGTCTGCATTGTGAGCTCAGTGACAGGGGACCCAGTGCAAATTCATGTGCCTGTAGCAGAAACTTGGCTAAATGTGTCATTCAGGCATTGCTACATTGCTACCTTATTTTTGAATCGTTGCCAGCCCAGTTTAATACCTTTCACAGCCTTCCTGAATGCATGCTGGTTTCAGGGCCTCTGCTTTGCAGCGTCTGCTCGTGAGCTGTCCCTAAACGTAAGATGGGAAGTGGCCATTTAGACAACACGTTCTAAAACTAGCTGAGACTGTGGAGAAGAATTCTCATGAGAAGAAAACGAAATTGCTTATCTGATGTGTGATGTCATGTTAATGCATAACCTGGTTACTTAGTGTGAGAACGATTTGAATGAATAAACAATCAGGAAAAAAATTATTTTTGGAATTGTTATCTCAGCAAGAGGATTTTAAATGTGTGTTCTTGGCGTGTGTTTGTCTTTTGACCTCAGCACTCCACACCCCCAAGTGCTTATGGGTCCGTCAAAGCCTACACCAACTTTGATGCTGAGCGGGATGCTTTGAACATCGAAACGGCCATCAAGACCAAAGGTAGGTGATACATTTGTCCTCCTCTTGCCAGTGCCTTACTGAGGCATTTCTGGTTGTCTCTTTATCCGCACATTGGGCATTTGAAATTGCCATCGAGCTTTGATAGAGTGAATCCTGACCTAGCCCACCCCATACCTCTCTCTTCCTTCCTTCTTTCCATCTCTCCTTCCTTCTTTCTCTCTCCTCCCTCCCTCCTTCCTTGCCTTCTTTGGAGAAAAGAAGATCTAAAGCATGAGATGGTGTTTTAGCCAAATAGTATGATAAAAACAAAACAGGCTAAAAGCAAGATCTGACCCCAAGGGTGTGTGCTTTGGGCCTGGCTTTTCACTTTGAGGTCTCAGTTCCTCTTCTGTAAGGGAAAAGTTGGTCCCGGTGATTCCTAAGAACCTTTCTTGTTCTGAATCCCTTTGAATTTCATTGCATTTGTTTGGAAAAATGCTGGGAAAATTCTGCTCCTTTGCTCTTAGATTGATCTAATGAGTGAAAAATCCAGACTTTTTTTTACCCTTAAGATCTCCTCCTCTGTAGGCCTGGAGCCGGGGGATAAGAAGAGCTGTCAGAGTGAGTGTGTTTCCTCGAGTTCCAGGATGAGTAAGGAAGATAGGAGACATAAAAGCTTTCCTTTTAAATAAAGCAATGAAGCAAATAAAGCATTTAATTAGTTAGCGTTGAGCAAGAACTTGTTCATGTCATCATGTTGTTTTCTGGATCTACAAAAGTTAGATGTTCAGGCTTTGGGGGACTTAAGTCCATGAGGCAATACTTGGGGTTGCCCCATCCTCCAAGTCCCTAAAAACATTGCAATGATTGTGGTGACTCTTTGTGATTCTCCACTTTTTACCACTTTGAAGAGAGCATTTCCTTTTACCCTGAGGGTAGATCTAGAAACAGATGTGACCCAGCAGTTAGAGCAGCTGCAGGTTCATGCCCCTGTTGAAGAGCCGTGTCAAATTTTTCTCTTCTAAGCAGGGTGTTTTAAGTTACTTACGTACTTACACGGTCCACAGACACAATTTGTTGAAAGGTTGAGCAACTTCAACCAGCATGACCTGGGAACACAAAACTAGGGTGAAAACACCTCCTGGTGCCCGCCTATTTCCTAATAGTGCCCGTTTTACTCTCAGAACTGTCTGATTTTGCAAAACAAATTGCACAGCCTCTTTTCCTAGCACTCTTGCGGAAACTGACGACTTTGTTTCCGGAGTCCGGAGGAAGAGTAGGAAGATGCATTTTTGTCCCGTGGTTCTAACAAAAGATGCAAGGGTTTGTAGCCTCTGTGTCAGAGCAGCCTTCAGTTGCATGGGGACCCTGCAGGCCACCGCCAGAAAGGCTGTCTGGACAGCTGAAGGGAGAATCGTGAAGCAGCCACGTTAGACCTTTAAAAAGCACTCAGCACGGCGCCTGGCATGTAGACAGCACTCAAAATGCATTATCTTAAAAAACACACACACGCGCACGCACGCAGCCCGGCTTTTTAAAAACTCATCCTATTCCGCGACTTGGGTGTATCTAGATTTTTGTGGTTTCCCAACGTGCCATTGCAGCTGCACGCTCGAAGTTTGACAGTTAACTCGTCTGACAAAGATGGCGCCTTGCCTTTCGCAAGCTTAGGACAAAGGCTGCTTTTATCCCGCATGAGAAAGCAGCTAGCGCACTGGCGTGTAAAGATTGCGCAAAAGGAGTTCTGGTCACGGCTGAAACTCTCTCTCGGTAATGAAAATACCTTCAGGCCCTTTCTGAGTTAGTAGAAAAATACTGTCGTGGTTTTTTTTTTTTTAAGCAGAAACTTCTGGAGGGCGGAGACTTGGATTTCTGCATTCCAGTTTGATCAAAATCAGTTGACATCATCATCTTCATCATCATCATCTTGATGGTTTATTGAGGGCTCGTTACGGGCACATACTGCACCAAGCAAACTCTGATGTAGCGTTTTCTCAGCCCCAGTTTTTGGGTGGCACGGTTCGGGATTAGCATGCTTGAGGGCTCTTGGCTTTCATTCAAATGGGGATTTGCACACGGCTCTGTCCGGCTCCAGGCTTGTGTCCTTAAGGGCTATCGTGTAGCCGCCACCTGTCAGGATTAGATTTTTTTTTTTTTCCTTTGAATTATATTCAGGCATGAAAAACATTGTCTGGCTGTGATCTCTTATTGATATCTGATATGTTTCACATTTGTGGTCTAGCTTTAGCTCCCCTTATCTTCTCTTTCCCCCCCAAATTAATGTTCAGTTAAGTTTCACTTCGGACCACTTTTTATTTACTGATTTATTTTTGGTGCCTGATGATGTTAGAGAATAAATCTCCTTAAGTTAAATCCATTGGTCCTTTAAAATAATTTCTATCAGTATTTTTAAGAAACTATTGGGAAGAAAGAATAAGTATTCTTTATTGTATTCATAAAGTGCTCAGATATTCATAAGTGCTCAGTGTACCCAAGATGTTAAGATTAGCATTGGTTATGGTAGTGAAAAACCCAGGTATACCTTTTAGTTGAGCAGTGATTAAGTAAATGATTAAGTAAGACTATATTACATAGGTGATGTGTAACTTCCTACATTATACAGAATGTCTGGAGAATGTTACATAAACATGGAAAATAAGTATGAGCCATTTTTGATAACCTTTATTGAGATATTAATTCATATGTCATACAATTCACCTATATAAAGTGTGCAATTCAGTATTTTTAGTGTATTTATGGAGTTGTCAACCATCACCACAGTTAATTTCGTTAACACTCATTTTAACATCCAGTCACCTTCAATTTGTCAGTTGCATTGAAAAATGATATAAAATAGTATATATTGTGAGATCACAACCATAATAATTTCTTAAAATCAAAAATGGAAAAAATAAAAGAATTAGTAACTAACAAAGACATACCTCATTGTATTGCATTTTGCTTTATTGCACTTTGCAGATACTGTGTTCTTTTTACAAATGGAAGGTTTGTGGCAACCTTGTGTCGAACCAATCTGTTGGTGTCATTTTTCCAACAGCATGTGCTCACTCTGTGTGTCTGTGTCAGCATTTCTTTTTTTTTTTTAGCAATAAAGTATTTTTAAAATTAAGGTATGTACTTATGTTAGACACAATGTTATTGCACACTTAATAGACTACAGTATAGAGTAAACATAACTCTTTCATGCACCGGGAAATGAAAAAATGTATACACCTTGATGTATTGTGATATTTGCTTTGTTGAGATTGTCTGGAACCAAACCCGAAGTATCTCTGAGCTCTGCCTGAATATGGAAGTATGGCTCATTGATTCTTTCCCTTTCTTGCGCTTTTTAGTACATTACGTATTTCTGTATTTTCCAAATTTTCTATGATGGCATGCATTACCTTCATAATAGAAGGCAGTAAACTTAATTAAAAACAAAAATGAAGTCATTAGTTGGGAAAGGTAACAACCCTTTTGTTCCTTTTTCCCTTCCCCTTGATATTTTTATATAACTAACACCACTTAGAACATGAGCTCATTAAGATCATACCTTCCCTTTTAGCATTCCTTGTGCCTTACGTGTAATTAGAAAGCTCTTGCCACACCTTGGCCCCACTCCTACCTCAAACCCTTTATCAGCAGGACACAATGCTAAGTAGTTGGTGGTTCCTTGACATCAAAGGAAACCTTCAAAGGACCACAAAAAGATACTATCTGGAAAAGATAACTATCTGGTGTGCACCCAAGCTTGCTGGGACATCATCGCTCCATCTGAGGTTCTTTCGATTTCCCTGTGGCCTGAGAACTCTCAGGAAGGAGGGCTGGGAGCAGGCCACTTTGGAGGGTCTTAGTTGCTGCTGTTAAACCAAGGATCGTGCACAGGAGCAGGCTGGAGTGGGGACGATTGTTAGGAGAGCAGAGCTTGTCAGAGGTCCACAGCTGGCACTGCTCGGCCTGGTCATGCCCACATGAGTCACCAAGGCCTCTCACACGTGTGTTCCCACGCAGACTGGGGCTCCTCTCGGCTTGGCCCCTCTGCCATGGGAGAGAGGCTGCTTTGCCCAGCCAGTCTGCTGTCCCGACACCCTCTAGAGAAGATATTCCTAATTGCTGTGCTCAGCTGAATGAATATACCCCTAGGGTTGCAGGCGAAACCAAAAATCCGCATCCTGGCTTGCTTTCCGGTGGGATGGGCAGCAGCTCTCATCCAGCCTCCCCCAGCCCTCATCTCCTCTCTCCTGGGGCTGCTATGGCACCTGTCTTCTAAGGGGCCTCCCTGCCTCGGCTGTCAGAGTGCCTTTGCAGCTTGATCTCCGGCTCATCGGGGCCCCCAGTGGAACGTGCCTCCGCCTTGGTTCTTCCAGGAGCGCACGACCTCCCTGTCCCCACTTCTAACACCCACACGTGCCCACTCGCCTCTCAGCCTGCACCAGGGCACAGTGTCTCCTCCAGGCTTTCTCTGGGAAGGCGGCAAGACCAGTTATTCCCTGGTCTGTGTACTCATCATACTTTATATACTCATTTACGGCTCTTGTCACCCTGTTAGAACTGTTTACATATGGGTTTGTCTCTCCCTTGGGAGTGTGAGCTCCTTAAAGGCAAGGACTTAATTTCATTAACCTTTTCAGTGCCCGGCTCCGTGGGACGGTGTGAGAAGGTAAAGATTTAACCCAAATAGTAGTGAAAAGGTACACAGATACAGAGCACACAGGTGAGTGCCGATCATTGGGGACACAGGAGGCAGCAAGGGACAGCTCCGGAGGCTGGACGGTTTCCAGAAGGGATCACAGCCCCCAGGGGAGCTTCCACCTATTGTCACTGAATGAATTGAGCTCACTGTCCTAAGTCTGCTTTTGCTTCTAGTTTGAAGGGATCTCAGTATTTCCAGAGTATCTTACCTAAACCAAATGCGTGGTGGTTTTGTGTGTGCTTCGGCTTGAGGTAGGCCATGCAATTACGTAGCTCGATTTATGTCTAGTTAGAAACCGAGTGAAGCCATGCAAAAGTAGTAATATTGCTTAATTAACAAGAGGCTTCTGAGACAATCTGTAGGA